GTGCTGCATTTGCTAACCATCTGGCCTTTCTGGAAAAACTCTTATTATTTCTTCCTTCATGTTCCACTTGCTGTGTGGCTACTGTTAAGGAGCCTGTACACCATTCCTACAAATGACTGCTTGCCTTTATCATTTCTCATTTTTATCCAAAACTGCTTTCATATTTGGTTTCCTGAACTTGTCATTCCCCCTCTTTATTGCTAATATTATCATTAATTAACAGAGCCATTCCTACAACATTTGCTAGTTCCTCCCCTTTCCTAAGTATCCTATACCCTTCAAAATTCAGGTCTCGATCTATGTTACCCTTCAGCCATGTCTCTGTAATTGCTACCAGGTTGTACTTACTCATTTCTACTTGCACTCTCGGTTCATCTGTTTCATTTCAAATGCTATATGCATTCAGATACAGAGCGTTGAATTTGTCATTTTACTGTTGTAAATTCTAGTCTTGTGTTGGTCGATTCTTGGATTTGACCTCTATCCCTTCCTGACACAGTACGTTTATCATTTTCTGCATAAATACCTTTCTTTTTGGCCTTGACTTTACTCTTGGATTTATAATATCTTTTTGAATTCGATCCCTTGTCCTCACTATTTAATGTTAAATCCTATCGACTTCGCTAGTTATGTGGTACACAAGGACATCAGCCTGCAGTTCAGGTGGAGATCATCCTAATATTCAGATCTCACTTTCCCCGCACTAGTGCCAGTTCCCAAGGAACCAGAATCCACTTCTCCCATACCAGTCTGAGCCATGCATTCATATCTCTAGTCTGATTTTCCTGAGCCAATTGCACATGGCTCAGCTTCTAATGCAAACCTCAATTAAGTGCTAAGCTCCTCAAACTGACTGTGCAGAACCACCTCCTTGGGCCTGCATATGTTGTTGCTAACTGCATGGACTACAATGATTAGATTCCCCCCCCCCGCCATTGCAGGTTCTCTCCAGCTCTAGCAGATGTTCCAAGTCTCTGCAGAATAGCATCTCGAAACGTGCTCTTTGCTGAAAAGAACAATGTCAATCACCCTCACTGCATCATCCCCTACTGTCACTGCATCTGCCCGTTTTCCCCTGTTGAATGGTTTCCTGTTTCACAGTGCTTTGGTCAGTTAACTGATCCATCTTGCAGCTCTCCTCTCATCCTGAAAGCTGAAAGAACCTCAGACCTGCTGGACTATTGCAAATGCTGAGGCTGCTGTTCTCCTGCCTTCTGGGTCCCCTTATTCCCTTACCAGCAGTCTCACTTCTGTTCCTGAACACTGACCAAAACTGTTTATATTTTATTAACCTTGCTGTCAGTTATTATGCTATATTGGACCTTAGTAATAGAATAAGTCTTGATCACTCGCCAAATAACTAGCTACTTCTCGAGTTAGAGAATAAGAACCAATTCCTGAGGGTCAAAAGGCTTCTAAGACCAAGGCAGACTTTAATTCTACTCTGAAGTTGTAGGTTTTGAGGTGACTAAATAGCCTAGTGCTGGATCTATGCAGCCTGCTGCAGGTGCTGTTGGAAGTGGCTCAGAGCTCTGAATGCTCGGGTGCTCTTTCTGGTGTTAGTGCTTGACCTCCACCTGGGCTTGTCAGAGATGCTGTAAGTGGTCAATATCTTTGCAGGCTATCATTGAGAAATGGAGTCATGGTACTTGTAGGTATCTCGTTCCTCTTCTAAAATTACCATTTGATGTTAGTGAATCTATTGAACATGAGTGACTGTTTGTTTGACTAGAGGGTGAGGTTACTTTATGTGCCAACAGAGTAAGAACATTTTCAGCTCTCTTACATAACCACTACCTCCTTACCAATTACATTTCCCCATTAGTCCAAGTGTGCTGAACCATTTGCAGAATTTTCATTGCATCCTACGATGATATTCCAAGATGCTGCACTCGGTGGTGTGTTTAACCTACAAGGTGTTAGTGAAGCTCAACTCTTTCATAGATGTTTGTGGTTTTTCATTGGTCTTTCTGAACGTGCCTAACCTGCTGATCTGTTTTCCCGATCTGATTTCAGTGTTTAACAATGGTTCATCTCAGGAGCTGATGAGTCTCACTGGGACTATCCCGGTCAGCTACAGAGGTAAGGACTGAATGATTGCAAAGAAATTGCCAAAATGGGTGTAAGAAAGAGTTCGTAGGATCTTGCATCATGAGTCCTTCTTGAAGAGATTGGTAGGATTGGCAGTGCAAAAAGTCTGCAGGGGTGATAAGTGGATGGGCACATGTGGGTGATGTATGTATAATAAAAGAGGCAAACTTTGTGTAAGAGGTGTTCTTAAGGGAGGCTTTAGGAATGTCTGAAAAATTGCAATCAGAAGGCTGAGAGATTGGGTAACTGCAGCATGTCTAACAATTTAAAGTTCCTTTCAAAATATAATTTGACAGCACGAAGAAACCCTTAGGCTCTAACTTTATTACTGAAGGGGAAAGCTGCACGCATCCTGGAGGTGGGGTTTGGAGATGAATGAAGGAGATAACTAAGCTCAGGGTCTCGGTCTTCACTGGCCATGGGGTTTGTGTCACCGTTCTGACCCAGCAGTATGCCAGTTCTTGAAATTGGTAAGAAATTTGATTTGATTAAAGATAACAAGGTGTAGAGCTGGATGAACACAGCAGGCCAAGTAGCATCAGAAGAGCAGGAAAGCTGATGTTTTGGGTCGAGACCCTTCTTCAGAAATGGGGGAGGGGAAGGGGATTCTGAAATAAGTAGGGAGAGAGGGGAAGGCGGATAGAAGATGGATAAAGGAGAAGACAAGTGGAGAGGAGACAGACAGGTCAAAGAGGCGGGGATGGAGCCAGTAAAGGTGAGTGTAGGTGTGGAGTTAGTGGGGGATAGGTCAATCCAGGTTTTGGCGAACCATTTCAACTCCTCCCCTCCCACTCCTCAGATGACATGTCCATCCTGGGCCTCCTGCAGTGCCACAACGTTGCCACCCGAAGATTTGCAGGAACAACACCTCATATTTCGCTTGGGAACCCTGTAGCCCAATGGTATCAATGTGGACTTCACAAGCTTCAAAATCTCCCCTCCCCTGATCACCTCCCAAAACCAGCCCAGCTTGTCCCTGCCTCCCTAACCTGTCCTTCCTCCCACCTATCCCCTCCTCCCACCTCAAGCCCCACCCCCATCTCCTACCTACCAGCCTCATCCCGCCCCCTTGACCTGTCCGTCCTCCCTGGACTGACCTATCCCCCCACTAACTCCTACCTACACTCACCTTTACTGGCTCCACCCCCGCCTCTTTGACCTGTCTGTCTCCTCTCCACCTATCTTCTCCTTTATCCATCTTCTATCTGCCTTCCCCTCTCTCCCTATTTATTTCAGAATCCCCTTCCCCTCCCCCATTTCTGAAGAAGGGTCTAGGCCTAAAATGTCAGCTTTCCTGCTGTGTTCATCCAGCTCTACACCTTGTTATCTCAGATTCTCCAGCATCTGCAGTTCCTACAATCTGATTTAATTTAATTTGTTTTCACTACAAAATGTCAGAGTATTTGAACTGATTGTTGGCCCTCCTTCCCCACAAATTTGTTTGTTAAATTATTTTGTAACTGTGCTTTTGTTTCAATCTTTTCTTTGCAGGCAATATGTATAACATCCCTGTGTGCCTCTGGTTACTGGACAGTTATCCTTACAACCCTCCTATCTGCTTTGTAAAACCCACTAGCACCATGATGATTAAAACAGGAAAGCACGTTGATGCTAATGGGAAGATCTATCTCCCATACCTGCATGAGTGGAAACATGTAAGTATTGTCCTGTTTTAGACAAGACAGCAGTATGTTCTTTCTTGTTCCATGCAAATACTGGCACCTGTATACTTGGGAAGAGATGCATTTGGCAGCCAGTGCCCATATGCAGATACTGACAGGTTATGTTCTTTGAGGTGGTGTGAGTGTGTTGGTCAGTGGCAGGCTGGGCTCTGTCAGGAATTGGGTGCTGGGTACAGGTTGGGTAGTCCCATATGGAGTAAGAAAGCAGGTGCCAAGACCTCCTGACCCATTTATGACTCACTAAATCATGCCTCTAAACTGTTTTAGCTCTGCCATAGTCCAACAGCATTTCAATGGATCCAAAGTATATGGAGGCCCCCTAAAGATGCTCAGGCTCTGAAGCTCAGATTGTCAGTCTCTGAGATTAAGGTGGTTTACAGAGCAGAAGTGGCTGGCCTTTACTTCTGGAAATAGAGGAACCCAGCCTGATGATATGGCTGAAGCAGAGCTGCATTTCAGTTGAGAACACCTGGCTCTGAGGATCAAGGAGAACACATCTCAGAAATGTTGCCTGATTCTCAATTGAGGAAGCAGTTAGCATTTTATTGGCAATCCTGTAACATGTTTAAGACCCAGTGTGGAAGCTATGCCTGTTCCAACCGGGGTTACCATGGTTTTTGTACTTTGTTTAAATGTATGGTTCTAATCTCCACGCTACAAAATGATACCTTGAATATTGTAGTGCCCATTCCCAAATAACATCAGTTAACTTCTACTCCCTGTAGTGACTCTATATTTAAGCTTTTATTCACAGTTTAAAAGCCACATAAGACATTGAACATGATTATTTTCAACTCCTTTGAGTTGATAATTGTATTCCATTGTTCTTATGCTATGTTCTGCATTGTTGATGAGCAGTTCCTATTTTTAGCATTCCTTTCGATTGTTACAATTCTATAAATGACCTAAATCCAGGGTGAAATTCTCTCTCTGTTCCTTTTACCAGAGAGTTGTGAACAGAGCCCAGTCCATCACACAAGCCAGCCAACCTTCCACCCATTGGCTCCATCTATACTTCTGGCTGCCTCGGAAAGGCAGCCATCATAATCAAAGACCCCTCCCACTCTGGTTATAATCTCTTCCAGCCTCTTTGGCTGGGCAGAGGATATAAAAGCTTAAACACATTTACCAACAGATTCAGGAACAGTTTCTTCCCTGCTGTTATTAGACTTGTGAATGGACTTTTCAAATTTTAAATTTAGTGTTGATCTTGCTCTTAGTGCACCTCCTCTGCAGCCGGAACATTGTATTCCTCGCTCTGTTCTATTACCCTTATGCAGTTTGTATGGTATGATCTGCCTGTACTGCATGCAAAGCAAAACCTTTCACTGTATCTTGTTACATGTGACAATAATAAATCAATTGATGTGGAAATACAGCTCACACTATGCACCATTGTGGAAATGTGAAATATTTAAATGGAAACTTTTAATGTAACTCTTTCTGTGCATTTTCTTTCTTTCTGTAGCCACATTCTGACCTGTATGGGCTGATTCAGGTGATGATAGTCATGTTTGGGGAGGAGCCTCCAGTCTTTTCAAGACCAGCTGCAACTCCACAGTATCCACAATACCAAGCCACAGGACCTCCAACCAGTAAGTCGTTTTCTGAGAAAAATGTGATTAAACCCAGGAAGCTTAAGTATTCATGGCTTCAACTCAATAAAAGTTAAGAATGTCCCTTGATAGATTCATCTCATTTATTTTGTTTAATTCTCCACCCCCACCCCACAATCTGTTGTGAATTCAGTTATCTTTTAAAACCCTGCCAAAATCTTGCGTAGACAATAAATATTAGACTATCTGACAACAGAGACATTAGCAACTAAATATAATTCATCTTTAGCTAGTTCTTCAACATGCCTCTTGCAATGGAGTCAGTGGAAATCATTAACGGGAGAAACCTTGGTCGATTGTTTTCTCGCTAACTGAACATTGAAAGCAATAATGACTCGGTACTACATCAACAAGAGCAACAGCCTGAAAAGTGCCTTTAGACTTTATAAGGTATTCCCCCAAGGCACTTTACAGGAAGCAGGTATTAAGATGGATGACTAAAATCTCAAAAGAGGTGACCTTGAAAGAATATCCTAAACGAGGAGAGAGAGTAGTTTTGGGAGAAAATTTCAGAACTTGGACGCTAGGCAGCTGAAATTATTGCCATTGATGGCAGCACAATTAAAATCAGGGTCTCTCAAGAGGTGAGAATTAAAGCAGTGCATAAGTCTTGGGGAGTTGTGGGATTGGAGGATATTACAGACATCAGAAGGGTACAAGATCATAGAGGGATCTGAAAATAGGATGAAAATTTTTAAGTCAAGGCGGTGCTTAACCAGGAGTCAGAATAGGTCAGTGAACAAAGGGGTAACGGGTGTATAGGATTTGGTGCAAGTAAAGATATAAGCAACAGAGTTTTGAATGATTTCAAATTTGTGGAGAGTAGAATGTAGAATCTGGCTAGGCATACATTACAATACAGCTATCCCTCATTTAGTCGTACTAATGTGTTCTTAAAAAGAGCATGCTAAATGAAAATATTCCAAAAGAAAATCACTTTCCCATAAGAAACATGAAATGCAGATGGGTTATGCTTCTAACTTTTAATTCTCCAAACCCTTTGCCTTGAACAAACTGGCCCCAATGCTTCCCCAACTTTCTTGACTCACTATTGTTCCCAACTCGCTTGTCTTCCAACTCTCTGCTTCCCTTTCAGGCCCTCCCTACTCATCGAGTCTCCTGTTCACCACCACCTGCTCTGGCTCTTTATTTGCTGTGACTGAGGGCTGAGGTGAGGGGTGGTGAGTAAAAGCGAACGAGACGAGCTGAGAGTGGGAGGGTTGCCAAGCAGGATGGTGAGGAAAGAAAAGGTCAGTGTGTTTTCAAAAAATCTAAACCTATGTGATTGCGCAAAAAGTGAAAATAGCATCAGCACCAATGGGAAACATCCCCAATTTACTAACCATGCCAAAATGAAAAGGTCGTATTGCATGCTTTTAACCGTGAACACCTGTAGTGAAGTCTCAATGTATAAATGAGGGTTTCCTCAGCAGATGAGCTGAGGTAGGAAAGCAATCAGGCAGTGTGATCGAGTTGGAAATAAGCGTTTCTTGTAAGGGGAAGGACGTGATCGGAAGTCATCTGTGACAAAGTTGCAAACCGGCTGGTTCAGCCACAGGTAGTTATCAGGGAGAGGGACAGGTTGGGATGGTTATGGGATAGAGTTTGTAACTAGATTCAAGGACAACATCTTTGGTCTTCCCAATATTTAATTAGAGCAAATTTCTACTCCCCCAGTATGATCATTTAACAACTATGTAGGAATCCAGAGAGAGAGAACAATGCTGAAGACACCCATCTATATATGAAAACTGTTTCCAAATAATATTGCTGAGGGGCAATATGTAAATCAGATATAAAAGGGATCCAAGATATTTCTTCAGAGGACACAAACATTAATGGTGCAGAAATGTGAAGGAAAGCCATTGCATGTGATACTTTGGTTAGAGTTAGGATCAATCCTGGTTCAACAGACAGTGCAGGATGGCATGCCAGGAACAGCACCAGGCATACCTAAAAATGGGTCAGCCCAGTGAAGCTACCAAACAGGACTACTTGCATAAAACAGCAAGTGATAGAGCCAAGCGAGCCCATAACTGAACAACCAGATCTAAGGTCTGCAGTCTGCCACCTCCAGTCGTGAATAACGGTGGGCAATTAAACAGCTCACTTGATAAGGCAGCTCCACAGATATTTCCATCGTCAATGATGGAAGGGCCCAACACATTAGTGCAAAAGATGAGGCTGATGCATTCACGGCAATCTTCAGTCAGAAGTGTCCAGTGGATAATCCATCACTGCCTCCTCCAATGGTCCCCAGCATCACAGATGGTAATCTTCAGCAAATTCAATTCACTCCATGTGATATCAAGAAATGGTTCAAGGCACTGGATAATGCAAAGGTTGTGGGCGATAACAACATTCTGGCAGTAGTACTGATGGTTAATGCTCCAGACATGCAGCTTTACAACCAAGCTGTTCCTGCACAGGTACAACACTGGCATCTACTCAACAATGTGGAAAATTGCCCAGTTATGTCCTGTACATAAAAAGCAGGGCAAATCCAAGCCAATCAATTACCATTCCATCAGTCTACTCTCAATCATCAACAAAGTCATCAGCAGTGTTATCAAGCAGCACATGGTCAGCACTAACCTGCTCACTGATGCCCAGTTTGGATTCCACCAGTCACTCAGCCTTGTTTCAAAAATGGGCAAAAGAGCTGAGTTCCAGCGGTAAAGTTACAATCCTTGGCATCAGGGCTGCATTCAATCGAATGTGGCACCAAAGAGCCTGAGCAAAACTGGAATCAGTGGGATTGGGGGCAAACTCTGTTGGTTGAAGTTAAATATGGCACGTAGGAAGATGGTCGTGATTGTTGGAAGTCAGTCATCTCAGCACCAGGACATCTCTGGGGGAGTTCCTGAGGCACAAACATCTTCAGCTGCTTTATCAATGATCTCTCCATCATCATGTCAGAAGTGGGGATGTTTGTTCTTGATTGCACAATGTTCAGCACCATTTGCAGATACTGAAGTAGTCCATTTCCAAATGCAACAAAATCTGGACAATATCCAGACTTGAGCTGACGAGGCAAGTAATATTTGCACCCCTCAAATGCCAGGCAATGACCGTCTCCAATAAGAGACAATCTAACCACCACCATCTTCTCAAAGGCAAGTAGGATGAGCGGTAAATGCTGGCCAACCAGCGACGCCCATTGCTCACAAGTGAATTTAAAAACAATAGAACCAGGTGAGTACAGCCCCACTCAGCTGATTGATTAACTGACTCTGAAGAGGTAGTGGAAATCGATAATTTGGTCAACTGCGTTAAAAGCTGCAAACCAGTCAGGATGGCTGAGGGATAGTTTGCCTTTGTGATAAGAATGGGTTTAGTGCAGGGCAGAAACCTGATTGAAGGGACTTAAACATGGCTTTATCTGACTTTATAGATGTATTAAACCTAGCTGTCTCTCTCTTACTATCTCTATTTGAATGTCTCAGATTGCATGTATTGCTCTTTGAGCGTTTCAGTTGTTTTATTACAAAGCTGTTATCTGATAGGTATGGCTAACAATTCATGGTGTACCTTTTATCAACTGAATGCAAGGAGGCATTTCAGTGAAGTGTCGTAAGTCAGAATTAAAAGAAGTAGAATTTCCTTGTATGTTCTTCAATATCCCATTTACATTGACCCTGCAAAATTTTCCGCTATCTTTAGATAATCCTTGTAAAATTGCTAGTGATTATACCTTTACTTCTATGCAACTTTGTGCTATGTTTCCTGTTGGTATGTTATGTTTGGACTTCTCTCATGTGTACGTTCTGAAAATATTTTAAAATCTGTTTGTTGTGTGTTCTGGCCAGTGTAAGAAATAAGTGCCTCAATCTTGCTGTGTTATGACCCCATTGATGATAATACTGGACTTTTGCCTCAGTGCTCAATCTATTTTTTCTGCATCTGTGTTGCCGTGTTGCCACCAGCCAGCAGCACGTTACTGTGGTGAGGCAGAGACCAAGAGGTGTAATTTCTGGGTTTCTAGTGGTAAGAGAAGAGAAAGGAAAACCTTGTGTCTAAGCTCGAGTCAGCTCCCACCATGTGTCAGTTAGCTCACAAATTGATCTAAACTTTATAGGTCAGGAATATAATTCCCACTAATTCGCTCATCACCTCAAAGAATTCGATCAGATTTGTCACGTATGACCTCCCCTTCATGAAGCTGTGCTGAGTCAGCAATTTTACCCCACACTTCCCAATACTCTGCAATCTCATCTTAATAATAGACTGTAAAATCTTACCCGTGACCTAAATGTCATGTCCTGTCTTCTGTCTCCCTTACTTCTTAAACAAGGGTGTTAGATTAGCTGTTTTCTAGTCCTCTAGCACCCTCTTTGAATTCAGTAATTCCTGAAAGATCATCACTAATGCCTCTACAATCTCCTCAGCTATCTGTTTCAGGGCTCTCTGGGGTGTAGTCCATCTGATCTGTGAGATTTATCTATCTTTAGACCTCTCAGCTTCCTCAGCATCCTTTCCTTAAAGATGACCACTGCGTGCACCTCTGCCCCCGACTCTGTTGAAGTTCTGTTATACTACTGGTGTCTTTGACCATGAAGTCTGATGCAAAGTACCAATTCAATTCCTCTGCCATTTCTTTGTTCTCCATTACAATATCTCCAGCCTCAGTTTCCATTGGTTCGATGTCCTCTCTTGCCTATCCTACAGAGTGACTACTGTTTGAGAATCTTTACACTACTCCTACCAGTGTCGTCTTTCCCTTGCTGTTTTTCTTTTACCTCTGCCCAAATGGACTATATCATCTCTGTCTCAACTGTCCTCATTTCATCTCTTACTATCAGTGCTACTCCATCTTTTTCCATTCCTCTTGTCTTTCAAAAAAGGTCAAATGTCCCCAAGTGTTGAGTTCCCAGTTTTGATCCTCTTGTAACTGTTTCCAAAATGACTGAGATCATATCTATTAACGTTGAATTGTGACATTAGTTCATCTATTTCAAATATTTTGTGCATTAAGATAT